GAGTTGCACACAGTCTTATCTACAGACTCATAGAATCGAAGGTTTAAGTATGCCTTCAAAGAACAGGGTGCAGCCAGCATGCAGATACCTAAACTATCTGGAAACAAGTTAATAAGCACACTGAAAGCTGTCTAGACCAGATATAAGAAGGTCGTAATTAAGTTGCCTGGGGAAGTCTGCATCTCTGTACTCAAAAGAGGTCATTTAGGGCCAGCCCTGTCATTCAGTGCATAATTTCTCCAATAGAAGCTCAGTCTGGGAAGTTCTGACTAGAGAAGTCATTTGAACATATACGACTATTTATTAAATCTTGTTCTCTGATAATTCCAAGCTGCTCAGAAAGCTTTATACCAAACCAGAATCCTCAGCGAAGGATTTTCTTCTAGATCAAGGTAAGACAGAATCGCCCAATTCAAAACAAGCTAAGGTTGTCTTGGTTTTACTTTGACTCTCTCTGTGTATCAGCCCATCTATAAAATGTCACTTTTCTGCTCAGAAGGAATGTTGTGAGACTAAATAAGATTATGAAAGCCTGACATGTATTCTCAGATGTATACCCTTATTAATATCCGAGAAAACCATGTCGTATTTACTATAATCTTCCTTCAGCATTAGTGATACTATCTTGAGCCAGAAAATCTCAAATACTGCCCTTCAGTGCGATTTGGTTTCCTACTTGCAGCCAAGGCAAAGCCCAAAGTTGCAGCTTTAATGCAAACATAGCTTTAATATTTGCTTTGCAGAGTCTGAGCAGTGAGTAGTGACTGCTTCCAAACTACTTTTCTGTATTTTTCCAAAGCATGCGCAAATAAGAACAGAATAAATTAAAAAATAAAGAAATAAAAAGTACTTAAAAATACATTTTTAAAAAGAGTTAAAGTTTTAGCAGCTCACCGATTTAGCAAAAGACTATGCAGACATCCAGAAGTTGCATGGGAAGTACTGTGATTACAATAGCACTGGTATTAATTGCATCCCGTGACACACTTCTTATTACAGTTACAGTTTTATAACAGTAAAAGGGAGTCAGAAAGATACAACGTATAGCATAGTTTCCAAACTGAGTAAAATCAGGTTTGTCCTTTAGAAATAGATAAAAGAGCTACAGCTGAACATCTGTAGAGATGTTCTGTCGAAAGATCATGAGGCAGTGACTTTTTTTCCAGGCAGTTTCATCCCTTTGAGGCAGAAAGTAGCATGCATCTCCTTTCCATGCTTGCAGAATGCAGTACACAAACACTGTTCAAATTTCAACAATAAGAATCTCTGTTCTCTGTTAAGTAGATACTGCAAGCTTTGAATAAAAGCCTTTAAAAGCTCAGCTGAAAGTATTCATTCTGTGGGGAATATGTAAATCTGGATGAAATCTTCCATTCGTTTTTAATCTCACTATGGTAAGCCTCTTAATTAAGGTGATTAAAGGACTGAACAAAACCCTATATTTACATCCTTTGGAATGTCACAATGAGTAACAATAACACTGTTTATGGGAGGGAAAAAATCAGCAAAGATCTTTCTAAATGGATTCATCAAACAGAACTTGTTATTTAAGCAGCTGATAATTAATGATCCTCTCACTTAGCAAGAGCGCCTAAGAGTTAACTCTCTAGTAAACACACCGAAGAGAAAGAGCCAATGGCAAAACAAACAAACAAACAAAAATAAACATAAAAAAATCAAATGTGCAAACGTGCTGTTTATGGATGACCATATGAAAGTATTTCACAAGGAATAGCTAAAGACATGCATAGAAAAAAAAATAATCAGAGAGTTTCTGGAGCAGACAATTAAAGTTACGTAGGACTCCAAAAGAAATGAGTGGAAATATTTTTTGGAATGATGATCCAGGGAAAGCAGAATTTGAGAATCTCCTGGTGCCTGTTTATCTCAATGAAAAGTGTCTACATGGAATCAACATCTAGGCAATTTTCCTTCACCATTCAGAAGGGGGAGAGAGTCTCTCTCCTGAAAAACAAAAAAAAATCCCTCAATTCTTATTCATCTATTTCTCAGCAAGGATGGGAACTTAAGAAACTCACTTATTAAAACGAAGATATAATTCTCTCATCTGAACCACACTGATGTTCTGGGTAAATTACATGTGCATTTTTTGCTTATTTTCTCTGTAAAATATTTGGGCAACAATTTAAGGAACACCTACATGAATAATCTCTATACATGCCAAGATTGTGTTGTTCATCTGTTTATTTATTGTATTACCTCTTGGTAATATATCAAATCATTAATTATCAGAAATCAAGTACATATATATATATATATACATGAAACCTGCTTTCCCAAAAGAAAGTGTAGTATTTTTCAGTCATCAGTGCTTTGTAAGGGCATTCATCTTTTTCTGGAAGAATGCTGTTCTGAAAGAATGGGCTATAGGTATTATTCAATCAAGTATTCAATCAAAAATATTAACTTTATCTCTCATTTCAAAACATGTCAGTAAACCCATGTCTGTTTAAATATTCTTTCACTCAGACATCTTTCTTTTCCAATGACAATGAAATTGTCATTTTTTAAAAGGATTCAATCCTCAGGTAAACTTATGAGCAGTTATTAACTTTAGAGATTGAGGAATGGGATTCTATTGAAGGAAGAATTGCTTATGAGGTTGTGGAGAATGATTATATTTGGTATTCTATCATGGATCTCTCTCCTGGGGTATTAAATGAAGATTATTTCTAAGGGTGCTGATCAATATAGGTAAATCAATATAGCTGAGTTTCATTTACAAAATGCTCTTCATTTACAAAATGAGAGACCTACTCTGTCAGAAAATATCCTCATAACTCATGGTCATGTTAGTGTTAGATATTTATGCACTCCACGTGAAATTTAAGCAATATTCGACAGAGATATACCTTCTACATCAGCTTAGTATTCATCTAAAGCTTTTTTTTGCTGTATGATTTTAAGGATAAAAATTAGTTTAGGCTACTACAGACAACAATACCATCTTTGAAAATCAGACTCAGAAACTAAAATGGACTATCCAGAAATAGGATGTTCTCAAATAAAGACTCTATTTTAGATTTTAGATGTTATTGTGCAAAAATCCTTGAAGTTTCTCTGCTTTTCAACAAATTCTTGAGGTTTCTCTGCTTTTCAACAGTACTAAGAAAGAAAAGAAAGTTTCATGTTCACTGTTTAATTTCAGTACTGAACTCACGTCCTTGTGGTCTTTGTCCACCATTCCCTTTCACAGATCGACTGTGGTCTCAGAGCTATCTTTCATTAATGGCTTGTGCTTAATTACCTGAGCTTCAGGGAATTATTTATTGTTTAAGCATCGACAGATGTGGATTTTTTTTGTAGGGCCCATGGAAATAGATCTCACTTTTCCAAACCATTTCCAGCTGAAGGATGATGGGGAGGCCAAGCTTCCTCTCCAGTCATGAGACCGTGCTAACTCCAGCCCTGTCATCACAATTCTCTCGTGTTGAGTAACTACTAATATCTCCACTGCTACGCAATGCTGGTACAGCTGTCCTAACAAAATTATGCTAAGAGAGGCTCCCAGTATTTTTCAAGAGGGAATTTTCCCACTGGCATAGTTACACCAGTGCTCCAAGCAGTATAAACTAAACCAACTGCAAGCTGTAAGCACAATAGTTTCCACATCAAGGATTTTGTTGGTTTACTAATGAAAATGAAAGGTAATGGTTTTTCACAATCAAAGGCAAGGAGTAAGTAATAGTTTTACAGTAAAATATGGCATTAGAACCTGGCTAAATACAAGTTTAACATCATAATTTTAGAGAACACTTATGAAGACTTTGATGATATACTATGGACATTTGGTGGAATGACAGCTATTAACAGGTATATAACTACAGCAATAATGATGCCCATCTATTCTTAAACTCTCTATTTGGAGAAATCATATTCAGGTCAGGTTTTGGAACCACCTCTCAGTCCTGCCTACCTGTTTTTCCTCCCCAAATTTTGATATATTATAATCAAGCATTACTATAATCACTCAGATCTATCACATATGAATTGTAGAGTCTAAACATGAAAACAATTATAAAGGCTATATAACAAAAAAAATGCACTTATGAAAGAGAAAAGTGGAGAAGTGGCCATAAGATAGGAAGTATTAATTACATTGATAATAATAATACAGTAATAACAATAATTCCAGAATATATAGAACATGTTTTCCTAATAGAAACTCAGATATCATTTGTTTTCCTACAGATCTTCTGCACTGGGACTTTTTTTTTCAGCACTCACATTTCAAGGAACAAAAAAAAATCCCCCCAATAGAGACCTCATCTTCCCCCAAACCTAGCTATACTGTATCTATTGACAAACAATATATTTCATCTGTCATAACGTCTCCACTACATGTTATGCAAATATAAAGATATATTTACTTATATGCAAATACAACACAGGTGCAGAAGTTGCAGGATTGCAATTTTGAAAACATCACCACCATCACCACCAGTAACAAAAACAAACAAAACAAACAAACAAACCCAATCATTTTTACATTTTCATTTGAAAATTCATGCAGGGGAATTGTTATATCTCTGACTTCTGGCGATGATGCTGTTGTACTGGAAATTTAGCTATACAGTGAGCAGAAGCAGCCAAAATCATGGCTGTAATACTAAAAGCAAAAGCCAATTAGTATTCTACATCTGTATCCCAACATTGACATTTGGAACAGTTTGTGAAGGTTTCTAAACTCTGAAAGAAATCTTTTGTGACCTCAAGGCAGTATATTACACTGGAGGCATGGAGACTATTTCTGTTGTATTCAGCTTTAGTAGTGGGAATATGGCAATCCTATAACAGAAATTCTGCTGCTATTCACCGGTGTTTATAGCATATGGTTTTTAATTACTCCTTGGTACTCCAGACACTGTCAGCAGAGCAGTGTGTATTTCATGTTTAAAGTTCCACATTTGAGTGCATATGCAAAAATAACGAGTGTGCTGTAAAAGACCAGGGTGGGTCCAAACCGCAGGCTACTCTACCTGGTGAATGAAGCGGAGGGGAGCACATCAGGACAACCCCCTGACCTTCCCGCACAGAGACAGCACTTCTCGTCCGACCACTAAAATTTCCCAGATCTGTCAAAAGAACATAGAAAAAAGCATTTTAGATGCATGCAAAAGAAGATTTTAAATGTTGTTCCTAGCATGACACATATTTTTATTTTTATAAAGTCGACAATTCTTTTTTCATATCTTAATCTGTAATAGTAAGGCTTCTAAAAACCTATTTCCATTGCAAAGATTTCCATGTTGTATCAGCACTTTGTTACTCTTTTCAATGCACTAGGATATGGTGTCAAAAGACACATCAGGCTATATACTGTTTACAAAAGACATTTAATAGAGCTTTTATTTCTTCTTGCCATACCCTGTTGATTTCTTTCACCAGTAGAAACCACCCATGCGCACTGAAAAAATAAAAGTGGAGATAACACTTTGTCTAACGTGCTGGCTGGAGACTGCTATTAATATGTCATGTGGATAATACAGCGCGTGACATATTGCAATGAGTAGGGAACTTTAACTGCATTGTTTGTAAGATTAAATGTGGTTCACAGCAGCTTTATTTTCCTTAAATACTCTCTTTCCTTCTGATTTCTCCAGTGTCCTAAACATAATCCAGGTGTGGGTAAGTATTTCCTGCCTACAAGTTTTTTCAGCAGGTGAATAAAGCATTATTTCACTTTTTGTGCAAAAACTTTCGAGTGGGTCTGCAAAATGCTTTTACAAGAAGCTTGTCGGGTTAACTTAAAGCCTTTCAAAGAGAAGACTGGATTATTATGTTTACCACAGGGAATACTGGATCTAGATTCACATTTGAGGTGCAACGCTGTGCTCTAGCCTGGGTATGTGCTGTAGAGCAGATACCAGAGCTCAGTGCAGATAACCAGACTGAAAACTTCCTCCGTTCCGCAATGAAGGCAATGTCATGCAAAATCTTTGCTCACTCACAGTTGTTCTGAAGACTAGAACTTTTCTCTCTAATGTGGACCAAGGGGAAGATTACTGAAAATAGGGATACCCAAAGAAGAAATCTCCGAAAATGACACAGAAGTGTTAAAAAAAAAAGGCAAAATGAGCAGGATGAGCAATAAGTAGCAACTACAGAAATACTCTAAGACCTATAGCTCTACCTGCTCGTGCACAAGTAGAGACCAGGATGCCAGTATGAGGTCAATAGCAAGAAGCAATCTGAACTGTGAAACAGAACTATTACTTGCTTAGCTACATTTTGCTGAGAGTTCTCTGTCAGACTGACAGAGCTCCACATCTTGCTTCCTCCTCAATATTACATTAAATTGAAATTCAGTAATTTTCAAAAGCAGTATAAGAGCTGTTTTTTCATGGATTTCATAGTGGATAATACATTATATATAAGTAGAAAGAAACTTATGATCTTTTCAACTGATTATTAACATTTTTACAAGATGTCTTTGGTAGTCTAAAATTTAAATGTATCTGGATCTGTAGGCTAGGCTATGCAATTGTTTTCATTTCAAAGATGTATTCAAACAGGTAAGAGTAGATGAGCTTCAGACAAATTTGACCAAGAAGTAGGGCATCATTCCCAAATTATACACAATTTTAATAGGCAATAATTAAAGGAATATTACATTACATCCTAAAATAAGTGCACAGAGTGTTGCAAAACCATCCAGAGAAATTTCATTACAAAAATGTTATCTACTGAGTGCTACCTAACATTACATCTGTGGCAAAGTAACTATTATTTTCTTTATTTAGAAAGTACAGGGCTATTATAGCCCTGCATGACCTTTTTATTTGGATGAGATCGCACTTTGGAATGAAAAGTTTTCAAAGTAATATCTGCATCTCATTGGTGTGAGACTTTGCGTCTATAGCATTATTTATATTTGTGCATAGTCCTGAAATTTTCTAAATGAATGATATATTGACATACAATTTACATACATCAGAATAGATATTATCATAAGCATCACTTCCTTCTGCAAAATTAGGAATATAAAAATTATGTTTTAGTCTTCCTGTTGATATCAGGATTTTATCAACAGTTATGTGAAACCTATACTTCAAGTCTTCCATACGCACTATAAAAAGAAAAAGAAACTGCCCCAAACTATATGGTTCAGAGAATCAAAAAGCTGAACAAACCAAAGTATTATTAGTGCAATAATCTAAACAGCTAGTAGCTAGTAGCATAGGACTGATTTTCTAAAATATATAGACAAAAGGGCAAGAAAGAAATCTTTCATATTCTAAAAAGTCTTTGATTTTTTTAATAAATTATCTGAAATTTTTCATAAGCTTGATAAAAATATTTAAATTGACACCTTAATTTGGAATGTCAAACTATTTGAAGGAATGCCTGCCATTTTAGAAAACATTTTGTCATGAAAAACGTTTAATTGAAATACTGTTCCTGGAGGATTAAATATTTCAATTGGAATGTAGATCCTGATATCTCATAGGTTTATATGCTTTTATCCTTGTTGCTAAGTTTTTATTTACTATGATGCCCATCTTGGAAACATGTCAACACAAAAGAAGGAAAATGTGTGACACCTAAACTGTAAATCTGTACAGCAAATTTCAAAGTTTAAATAATACAATTTTACAAAAGCATATTTCCATGCTTCTTTATTTTTCCTCGGGCAAAGAAGTTCTATATTTAAATTAGCTATATCAACCTGAAGGATTTTATTTCCTGTTTTATATTTGGACTGTGATGTGACATACATATATACATACATCTATGTCTCCAAATCAAAAGCATTAAAAAAACCCTATGTGTGACTCAGTTTTTTATTTATTCAAACCAACTAATTTCAAATTAAAGAAGATAAACAAGCTCTGAATTTCGACTCTTTTTGGCTCTCTGTTAGTTCTGAATAACACATTGTTTTTCTTGTTAGTATATAGTGAAAAAAAAAGGATTAACAGGTGTAAAAGCAGGGCTTTCATTGAAACAACAAATAAAAGCAAAGCTTAAATGGAAGAAATTGTGTAGGATCATGTGCGCAGTTCCCCCTTCTTAAAATAGTAAGTCCAATATGGAAGAAATTAATGAAAGGAAAATTTAAAATATTTCCTGTGAATCTCAAGCATTTGATATCTGGCTATACTGAGGGGAAAAAAAAAGATATTTAAAACGTATTTTAAAATAACTATTATTTTGCATTAAAAACTCTAAAAATAGATAAGAGAACAGAGGGACAGAAGGCAGCGTTAGATGTGGACTTAAACTAGCCAAACCATTTATAAAGCACAAACTAAATTAAGGCAGAAAAATGCTTGCTGATCATGCTGTGTGAGTTTATACTAATTTATGTGCTAGTTTTTTCATAGAGTTTAAAGGGACATTATACCATATAGATGAAAACGTCTTCTTTTGAGCAAAATAAGCAACACATGAAGGTACCTAAAGTTGAGTAAAAAGTAGCCAATATTGCTAATGAGGTAAAAATAGCTCCAAAACAAAATTCTTAGGCCAAGGACAAACATACTCATTTTGTTGTCATTACAGAATAAAAAGTCTTCTGTTCCTTATATTTGAAAAACATGACTAAGAAATGAACCTGGAATTGGAACTGTAGTTCTTCTAAAAGGGCAAAATTTACAGGGAAAGGAATTATATTAAGAACATGGTTTCCAAAATTCCATTATACCCTAAATCAAAGACATGATTTAGACATGTACACTTTAAACAACAGGAAATATAAATGTTGTTTTAATAGCCTATATATTACAGGATATAGAACAATGAAAGAGAGATATTAGAAAAAAAAATGACATGCAGGATTGCAATGAGACCTTAAGCTGGATGCATATAATACTCATGGAATTTCAAGATTCTCAAAGAAATTAATGTGTCATTTTGTACTGACATGTGCCTGAAAAGAGGTTGTAGTGAGGTGGGGGTCAACATCTTCTCCAAAATAACTACCAATGACTCGATAATCTCAAAGGTGTTTTCCAACCATAATGATTCCATGATCCTATGAATTCCTAGGCACACTAAGTTAAATATGAGGAGTTGTGTTGTTAGATTCACCGATAGACCTCAGTAAGAATAATTTTTAATATTGACAATGTCAACGAGATTTCTAAGAGATGGAAAAGAGATTTCTCAGATGATGGAAAACTCATCTTAGCAATATTCACATAGAAACACAAATCTCCATCTTTTAAAAATGACATTACCATATGACTTCTAGGTGACAAAGAAAAGGCAAGATCAAGTATTTTAGAATTCTTATTGCCATTTATGTTGTTGTTATTTGTTATGAGAGGCTTTTGAATACTTAATGGATCATCGGTCTGACATGACCTGAAAAAGATTATTTCCTTGCTCAAATAATTTATTATATAAACACAAAAAAGTGAAATATAAACAGGGAATACAAAGAATGAAGCACTATAAGCCTGTATGCTACCTTGCGCATCAGCAGATCTAATGAGGAAAGTTTCTTAAGAAAAGAAGTTTTAGTAAAGATTATATGTAGAATAAGAACACAGTTTTGCAGATGCTTTAATGGAACTCCAGGAAGAGATGAGGCATAGGAGAAATCTTAAAGGTTCTTGTCTGAATTGCAAAAGAGACAAATGGATACAATTTCCTACGCGTTAAATAAGTATCTGCCAAAATTTCTGTCAGATACCACAGAGATGATTTTTGTTGTTTGTTTATTTGCTTTGCTTTTTTTCTCAGAAGCAAAGACATGATTAAACAACATTTGCATCCGTGTGGCATGTTCAAATAATTCTTCCTACCATGCCTTCTTGTGAACTATAAGACATAACACCATTGATGATTAGCTCTTAGCTATATTTTCACTGGAAAATAAAGCAGAATAGTTAATTAATTGAACATTATTTTTATGTCCTTAATGACATACTTTTATGTATGTCATTTTAATATACTATAACAATTCCAAAGTACATTTTGTGCTACAGTCAGTAATATCATCTCATTTACTTGTATTTCTCCAGCAAGCTGTCTATGTCTGTCTGCTTTGTTTTATCTTGCAAGTAGAGAACATCTGTGTATCTTTTTACATAGTCTGTCACATGAGTCCCTGAATGGGGCTAAAACA